GGAGGAGGAGGAGGAGAAGAAGAAAAATAACAACAACAACAACAATAATAATCATTAAAAAATAATAGTAATAACAATAATAATAAAAATTCATCAACGTATAATAAGACATTACAATGTTAGAGTCTTACTTTGGCATTGTGAGTCTCAGAATCTTTCATACTCATTATCTGTATAAGTCTCTTCAACTACAACCTGGAGAAAACAGCCTTTAAAAAACGAATTCCTACCAGGCAATAAGGTCGCTTTTAATTATAAGGACAAGCGGGCTAACCCAGATTTCAGGTGTTTACAGAAATCTGGACCTAGATCTATACCAAAAGTGGGCATTGCCTACAGAAAATGTCACAACGTCTCTCAACATTACAACAGGCTTGTTCTTCCAAGTCCTTGCATGCCGTCAAAACATAACGAACAACCCCAAACGCACCAGATCTACCCACTCCTGTCTGCTTACAAACTGGAGCCGACTGGGGGAAACATCAAACATCTAACCTTGAACTGAAAGCATTCCGCACGTCTCATTCATCTATAATGGATTGTTCCTTCTTCGGGTAAAGAGCATACTTTGAACATGGTTAAGTTCAAACTAGAGAGATGTTCAGCTTTGCTCTTCTTATTCAACAGAAACAATTTTATACTGGGTTGAACTTCCCTCTGCTTTCAACTCGGTATGAGCAGTTGCGTGTATTTCTTTTCCTTTTCTTTTAATTATTCCTTGTTTGTGCTCTGCATCTAAACCTGCCGACCAGACTTTCGTAAAATATTTAAGACCTAGCTCCTTCCTTGCTCGATTGCTGCTCATTATTCACTCGTTTTCAGGAAGCCCATCTGCCGGAATATCGGAACCTCAAGATTGGTGATCATCACTTCCGTCTGGCATGTGTAGCTGAGGGTCGCGAGTCGCCGACTGACAGGAAGCAGACGAGGGCATGCGCATTGCTACACGCCGGAACTTGTGGAATGGCATGAGAGACTCCGAGGCCGACGTCAGTGCAATGTGATCTGGTACACCAGTCGTTCTTTCGTGTATAATTACGATTGATCTTACCGGCCTTGGAGTGAGAGACGATTAGAGAGATAGATAGATAGATAGATAGATAGAGAGAGAGAGAGAGAGAGAGAGA